CACCCACCCACACACACACACACACACACACACACACACACACACACACACACACACACACACACACACACACACACACACACACGCCCAATCAGCTATTTCCGCAGATCCACACTGATACGCCCTCGAGAGCCCAAATCATCTATTGCAATACCAGATCTCCAGAGATAACCTCACAAAGCAAAATCATCTGCTATTATTGCCTGGCGCTCATTGACATTGTGCCATTAATAAGGCCATTGTGGAGGGCGCTCTCTGTTTGGACATCGTATAATAGACTCTTTGACAGATTTACTTTGCTCTCTCTGCCCCTACCCCGTCCTTTTTTCTCTCTCTTGTGAATACAGCGTGCATATTCCACGCCGCCGCTCATCAATAGGCGAGCTGTTTGTTTGCTTACTCATTCTGGACTGATGGTAAATACATAGAGGTATTCCAGACCAAAGGCTGAGCAAACAGGGGTTACATAAAGGCACTGTACCAAAACACGCATTAGAGACCCCCCCGCCGCACACACACGGCTCACACCCATAACCTCCCTTCATGTCTTTTTTAAGCTACTAGTCTTTCTTATTCATTCTGTCCGCAGTATTTTTCAACAACAATTAGGTCTGTGCCCTCAGGTGGTAGATAGGCTAGAGGTGGGTGGGGTCAACACTAGGCTGGCTTCAAGGCCCCCAGGTGTTTGGTATCAACATTGACATTCATCAGAGACAACCCACAGAGTCCCTCACACCGCACTCAGGCGCTAACAGACGCTAGCTGCTGCTCGGTGGAAACACAAAAGAGACCACAGCTACTTGACATCAGTGTTACCCTGCACTCTACACCCGTACAGTCTGATCAGCCTGTGCTGCACACAACTGTCACATTTTAAAAGGGAATACATACATTGGCAAACCAAAAACAATTGATAAAAAGTTTAGTAAAAGCTGACAAAGATAAATCTCTGTGGGTTTGTCCCTACTATTGACCCCTTTAAAATAGTAGTCACCTGAACCATTTACATTTTATATTAATACTGGTTAAAGCTGCTATATACACTCTTTTACAATTAACTTATTACAATGTATTATTGCTATGACTGGCTGCTACTTCACTACTTTTATATGTTCACTTTCTTCATAATGCTGCTCCTATTTTTACCATGGAAGTTTATTTATTTGATTTGATTTAAATGTATCAATGTGTGCTTGCCTCTTTAAGTAGTCTACTTATTGTTGACCTTGCCTTCTATCTTCACTGTCCCCTTTGCTTTGAAAATGTAAAGCTTTTTTCCCCTTATAATAAAAATCAATGATCAAAACAATTTATGTCCTTTTATTTCCGATCTAATGATGTGAATATTTTTTAATATATTGCCATGACAACTATATAACACGATATCTAAATATGAGAATTTAGAACCAAAGATAAGAGGGATAATAAGCACTTCCCACTCAGTCTTTGGCCCACCATACTTGATTTCTTGAGAGGCATGTGTCTCTAAGGAGCCAGCAAAAGTGCAGATGTCACATAAACAACTGTGGCTAGAATAAATAAAAACATCCACAAATACAAACACCGGAGTAGATAAGTTGGTTGAAAGAGTGAAGAGCTAATACCCTAACCCTAACCCTAACCCAGAGTGACTAAACATCACTGGGGGAATAGGACCAACTATAAAAGGACATACTGTACATATACAAAAATTAAGATTAGAAAGTGATTTGTATTCTCTTTAGATCACGATGTAGTCAGCTTTATAAATCTGCAGGCAGGTTTGACCCAGCTCATCTTGTACTGAGAACATAATCACATCTGCTCTTTGTGCTTATGTACATATCCTCTGTTAACTCTAAACATGAGCCGCATGGCAGCGACCACTGACTGATGACAACCTGGAGGGTCACAGAGTTGAATGGATGGATGGTGGCAGGGTTCAGAAAGTTAACGTTGTGTGTGTGTGTGTGTGTGTGTGTGTGTGTGTGTGTGTGTGTGTGTGTGTGTGTGTGTGTGTGTGTGTGTGTGTGTGTGTCCATGGGTGTGAGGGGGGGGTTCTCTGTTTTGGGAAGCCTCTGGCAAGTGCTCAGCGTTGGAACGAAAAGGGACAATTATGACCAGTTAGGCCCTTTCACAGCCTAATGAGGGCCACAATTACAAGGGTCTGCACAAGAGCTAGCCAACACACGCTGGACGCACCCACGCACACAGGGACGGACACAAACACTTTTGTGCTAACACAAACTACAGGTGTGTGTACATGCTTGCTTTGAGACACAACAACAAAACAAAAGGACCCCAGTGAATATTCAATGGTGGATAATGACAGATTGTATCAGGACACACTTTGTAAATACACCACACCCATCAACACGAGCATAGTCAGTGAGAGTCTTTCTCTGAAGAGCACCGCACAAAAAAAACACACACTGACAATTGTCTTTGTGCTTCAAGTGTTATGTTTCTTTAAAAGTAAATCCAACCTTACGTGTTTATGTTCACCGTGATAGCAACGTTTTGAATCGATAAGCATGAGAAAACATATCCAAGAAATGATGCTATCATGCTGATGTTCAGCAGGTTTATTGTTTACCATGTTCACATGCTAGGTTAGCGTGCTAATGTTTGCTGATTATTCACAACAAAGTACTGCTGAGGCTGATGGGAGTGTCTTTAACGTTACAGGTATATAGACACAAAGAAGACACTAATAAAGAATATGGATCCCTAACGTTATAATTTTAAATTATAATTCAGCCTGAGGGGAAAATAAACGTCTGAACCAAATTGTATGGTAAAGTGGTGATGAAACGTTATGTTTAAGAGACGTTTAACTGAAAACCACCAATATCAACCTCATGGTAGTGATACAGAGAAAGTCAAAACATCCACAAAGTCCTTTCATCCTCTTGGGAACATGAATATATTTTTCAAACTTCATGGCAATCCATCCAATAGTTGTTCCAGTCTGAACCAAAGTAATGGATCCATCAACAGATTGCATGCCATCCTGATTAATTGTGCTAGCATTATAGTTCATTTAGTTCTCCAACTTTAAACCATATCTCTAAAACAACCTGGTTTTTAGATGAATACAACAACACACATACACTAACCCAGGTCCATACTCCTGTAACACAACAAAGGCTTTCCATTAGTAATAACCTTGCTGTAGAAACCTGAGAACAGCTGCAGGGTTCTTCATCCTGCTTGATTACCGTCTGAACAAACCAGTCCAATCAGTCCCATTCATGGTCCCAGCACTCACTGGGAGGATCCTAACCCGACTGACCCCTGCAGAGGGCCGGCCCCTCAGCCTTGACCTAAGGTGTGGATGCTTATTGTCAGACTCACCAGCCCCATTGCATTCACAAAGGCTGGGAAGCCAGAAATTAGTCAAAAAAAATCAAGTGTTGTAATTGAGGGGACATTTTTAGAGTCGAGAGGAGTAATGGTAAAAGCGTCAGGTGTTTGTGTTTTTCCCTGCACGGTCTATTGTTTGAACCACAAGGCAAAGGAGAGTGTTGGCTAGCAGAGAGACTCAGCTTTCAAAGGAGGAGGAGAACCCAGGGTTTAGTTATTTTTAAATCTACCGTATTTCATAAATTGATGAATTCTTACCAAAATCTATTTAGACACTTTATTATATCTATCTATCTCTTGGTATAACGTTGGACCCTGGATGTGTATTGTATTCACTCCTACAAAACAAACATTAAATGAAAAGTCAATATATAAATGAATCACAGAGCACCTTGTTTGATTGGTGCTAAATATCATACAGTTGTTATCAATGAATCCCCGAAGCGTTGAAAATATTTATTTTACGAAATAGGAAAGGAACTTGTGGTGGCTAGAGGTTGAAAAAATGATCTTCCAAGTACAGTATTATTCAAATTGGACCAAAACAGTCTGTGAGAAGAAAGGCTTGAGTGCTGCAACCTAATGTGGAAGTTTCCATATATTTAGCTTTGTTTTATTAGCTAACTGTCATCTGGAGTGTTGCCAGATCGGGGTTTGGACGTGACAGGTTAAGGTTAATAGGTTTAGTAAAAGGTTTAATCTGATTTAGTCTGCCCAAGGTCTAAACATGTTTGTTTGCTGTTGTTATGTCTAATTTAATGGATGAATAAGAGCACATGTTTTGCAAAATTAGTACGAAAGATTTAAAGATGTGAAAATGTAGAGAATTCCAAACATCTAGGCTTCAAGGAATATGATAAAAAAAACAAAATAGGAAGTGGGTTTAAAAGGGAAAAAGTAGGAGTGAGGTATAAATCATCTTGTATTGATAATGTAACAAACTCACAGTCTTCGAAGTTGGAGCGACCTTTGTTGCCACTTTGCTGATGAGGCGTTTCGGCCTGCAGTTTGGAAAGAATGCTCAGCACCTTTGTTTTCTTCTCCTCCATCCTTCTGTGAATCTCCTCAATTCTGGTGTCAAGACCCCCGGGCCTCCTTCCTCCGTCAGAATACTCGACTTGTTCCCCCCGACCAGGATAATTGGACTCTTCTTCGATGGGGCCCCCTTCATCTGAACCTGAAGCGGAGAGATATAACATAAAATACATTAAGAAATGTAATGGAGTCTTGCATCGAGCAGTCTTTTTTCTTATTGCATCGAACAGGGGTTTTATATAGAAATACTGTAATCAATACTGTCCTGAAAAAGAAATACACATCTGTATTCATAGTCGTCCACACGGATGTAGCCGCTTGGTAAAAAGCACTGAAAACCCATTTCAGTTCCTCTAACAAATACTAATTCTCATCACATTGTTCTCTTAAATACCACAGTCACATTTCCCTTCAGCCCTTTCAGGGTCTCACTAAGGAACGGACGCTCTCCCTGAAACTTAAACAGCCAATTAAGAGCCCCATTATCTGTGAATATAAAGTCCACAGAATACACTTCTAGGTGTAGCAGCGCAGAGACAAAGAGCCACCGATGCAGACTTGAGCTTAAGGAGGGCTTTGATTGTCTTCCATCAGAGTTTTGGAATCTTTTCTTGTTACTTATGCAAACGTGAGTGGTACTTCGCATGAGCGATAATTCAAATGCGATGTGTTTTGAGATGGTTTCATTAATAAGGAGGAGAAAGCTTGACCGGTTTGGACGCTGACAGCAGATTCATGGAGGCTTCCCAACATGGTGGCGTGGATTCATTTTTCCCGTCAGTGAACGCACAGAGGTCAGCAGCCCAGATTGATGCGGCCATGTCTCATTTGACAGGCCGTCTTCCACCAGGCTGCACACAATCACACACTCACGTCCGCCTCATCGTCCTGCTCGAGTCTCAATGTCACCAAAACAGACGACGGGATGAGAAATGTACCCGTCTTTTGACAAGAAATTCCAAATGTCTTAATCTTTTCATCTGAAACATAAAGTAAATGTCTAGGATATCTCTAGAGACATCATTATGAATGTGATGAGAAAATACTGTTTAAATTAACTTAAAAAAATACAAGATATTTATAAAATGTTTATTGATGTTGTTTAATTTAAGTGATTGATGAAATGTTTTATAAATTCGAAAATAGTGATTTTACCAGCAGGGTAGTTTACTCCGCTTTTAGCTCGACTCAAGGCGCTCAGAAGCAATGCATTGTGGGGCAGTTGAGTTGGTGCAGTAAGTGTGCGCCGCATACTTTTACTACTTAAGTATATATACGGGTATTTTCTCACGTACACAACATCCACAAGCCGTGTCAATTAACTAAATACCTAATTCTACGTCATAACTAGTATCAAAAAATGCACTTTCGACACAGCCCCTGAGCCACAATCAAATGTAAATCAGTTTTTAGTGTCCTCTGTAAACTTGGTCCCAATATTTGTATTCCTGTTCAACTTGCAGCATTTCTGTATTTGGTTGTGTTTTCTATACATGCAGCAATTGAGTGTCAGACGAGTGAAGACGTCTTCCTTGTTCCCTTGTGTTTTCTTTAGTTGTATTGTGTTGAGCTCTCCAAGGTGACGTCTTCACATTGGTTGTTCTGTCTGATACAAATAAAGGGAATCCAACGCTATTAATTTTGCAGACATAATAAACAGAAGAAAGCTACAATATCCTCTCATGTCAGAGGCTTGTTGCATCAAATGTTTGGAGTTTTTTCTTAATAAAATGATCCTGACGATTAATTAAAGTGGACCTATCATGCTATTTTTAGGCAATAGCAAAGGTCTATGTCTATGAAGTGTTTTGCTCAAAATACCAAACAGATCACCCATTCTAGCCATGCCACATATCCCTCTATTTCCATTACTGTTTCAAAAGTGCAAGCTTTTGGGTATAAAGCTTTAAAAAAATAAAAATTGATAAAAAATAAAAAAGGAGGGGCAGCTACTGTGGTGATGAAATGCCATATCATGGATTATCATGGATTATTTCTGAAACAGTATGAAGGTTATACCACAAGGTGAGTTCCTTGTTATTTCCTGCTTCTTCACACACATGCTCTCAGGTTAGCTCTGAGTGTTAGCGATGCTAATGCACCGACCATATTACGTCCAAAACAGTCGGGCATTGTTTCTGATAGCAACGTTTCTGATAGGGCCGTGGGTGTAAAGCCAGCCTACATTACCGATATTAAGTCATATTGGACGCAAATCTGGATCAGCTCCGTTGTAGCCCCGTTTTTAGAGATTTGGGTACGGAGGAAAAGAAAGAGGTTTTTATTTGTCCAATCTTTTTTCTCGCACTGGTAAGAATCTATGAATCCAAACAGATCTTGTAATGTACCATCTTTAAAAAGTTTAAAGCAGGTTGAAACCGCAACTACAATTATTCAGGATTTGGTTTCCTCCTTTTGAAACCCTCCTATCCTAACCTCCACCGTGGCCTAATCCATGAATGCTCAGCAGTGATTACTGGTCAGTTAAAGCTGGAAACAAGAGCCCATCTAAAAGCACACAGAGCAGGTTACCATACCAACAGCATCATCTGAACACAGCAGATAGCTGGATTTGACTGCGAGCGGCCGAGTCAAATCCCCTTGCTGATCTCAAAAAGGCCGGCAAGGACAATAAACACACACACACACTGCCCACCCTACGTCCGACCCTCTGCTACACACACACTGCCTGCCCTTTACCATCCAGCGCACCAGGCACAGGCAAGAAGGTCGGACTTGTATCTCTTTCTTCAAATGTTTGGAAAAGGGATGAGCATCAGCGAGACAATCAGCGTGCAGAGGCTATTCACTGATGCCACCCAGAGCTTTCACTCCTCTATCTGCGGAAAGAATGGCAGAATAGAAAATCCTCACCAATTTATTATTCATGGGGAGGGGATTTTCCTTTCAGCGCTCCTTTATCGGAGCCTTTCCCAACACGTCACTCTCTCTATCAGCCCTGACAAGTGCCAATCAAAAGGCTTGAGTCCAGGTTTTTGGGGAAACGCTGGAGGATTTCAGAGACAATAGCCAATGAGTCCACAGAGATGGTGGCTTAGAGACAATGGTGACATGGCTACACTGTCAGTGTGTGGTCCTCTGGGGGGGAAACGATCCTTGCTTAGTACACGACTAATCTCTGCTTTGCACCATCTCTGTCTTTCTGGAGGCTAATCTGTCCCGTAGCTTCCTCAGCTTTCTGGAACAATCCACCAGGGTCAGTTCAGATTAGTGCTCTTTGTGGCCCAGCACATCGCTACATTCATTTGGATGCTAACATCTTTAGTAGCAGCTGAATGCTAAACACTGGAGTGAAAGCAGAGTGACCGGGGCAGCGGGGAAACAGTCAAGAAACAATTATGAGGGGAGGGATTATTCTACCTATGAATTCCTGATGAGCAGAAACAGACAAAGGTCTAAACATGAGCCTCACTGGGGAACAGGAGCATCTCATCACAGCTGATATCTGGCTGTGCTTTAATCTCAGATTTGCTCGACAATTGACGATTTATTTAGAGACAGGTGGGCAATTAATTGAAATTGAAAAGCCATCAGAAAAATTGTTAATCAGGATAAATAAATTTAAAAAAAATTATTTAATTGAATTTCCCCTTTTGTGTATTAATAGTCTGCCTTCTTCTTATTCTTCATCTTCTGACGTGCTGGTGGTTTTAAACACTTTTCACCCTTTGAGACCATTGCACAAGATTTTCTGTGGCTCTGGAGAAGCTTTACAAAATGTGAAGAAATGTGTTGTGAGTTTCCCCAAATTGCAATAATGAATCCGGAGTACCACTTTTAGTTTGCAATATTTCAGAGAGTGAAAAGAAAGACAACAATGTTTTTTTGCACAAACAGTCTAAAAGGCGAAAAATACCAAAGCTGCATTTTACAATGTTGTTTAAACAACACTGACCCATCATAAAGTTGTTATGGTGAACGTGTTAGCATAGAGCTGCTTTTCACACATCAAAACAGTAAGGCCTATTGTCTGAGCAGACAGTAAAATGCTCTCTAGGGCAATGTGGAATAAAGTTAGGAGGTTATTCTCTGTTGGTTTGTCACTCCAAGTGAACAATTTCACATTATACATACTCCTTTGATATATAACTAAAGGATAACTAAAGGATATATAACTAAAGGAAAGTACATTGTTGGTTGTTTTGCTTGATAAATAACCAAAAATGATTAACTGAACTTCAGCCATTTCAACATAAAAACAACATTTTCAACCTACATTTTAATATTCATCAGCCATGTGAACTGATCAACTATTGCAGATGCAAACAGCGTCTCAGTCCCATTTTCTCGACTTTCTCATATACATTGAGTCATGATGGGGTCATTCCCTCCATTACGAGGAAGCTCTATTCAAAGGTTGAACTGCTCGCACCTCCAGGGAAACCAAATCTCACCTTTCCACACAAAGACATGCCACACACTGGGCATCTTTTAGAGACTGTGACCTCAGGCGTGACCCCTCCACCACGCCCTGCTGATGACCCCCCCCCCCCCCCCCCTTCTGCCCCACATAGAGTGTGACCATGCCTTTGGCCTACCAAAGGTCAAAGCACACAAGCCATCACCAGGATCCTCTGAGGGACATCTTTTTTCACTAGTCGAGGTTTGCCTAATTCTTATGGGGCAGTTAAACAGGGAAAGCCATGTCGTAAAATGCGCAAGGAGCTGAAAAACGTTTGAAAGCTGCAGGGAATTGAAAACATTCTGTGCCATGACAATGGATGTACATTGTATTCATTTAACAAGCTGATAAATCAATCATTCTCTGTAATGAAGAAACTCTTCAAACATATAAAGCTCATTCCTAGTTGCAGGGATGACAGAGGTGTGGTCAACCAAGAAATCAAGTAACACATTGCACAGTATAGTAAAAAAGTTTCTTCAGTATATACATGTCTATTCATTTCAGGGCCCCAGACTAACTTAGGCTACCTCAATGTTTTTTAACAGGACGAGTAATAATTGCTATGACTAGTCAAGTGGTTTTGACCTTTAAATTGGTGGAGATCGTCCACTAATGGGAAGTGAAGCCTGCTGTCGTAGAAAGGGGTGACACCCTAGGACCAGTACAAATAGAGATAAGAAAAGGGAAACTCCCATGTTTCACTCGATTTGGGACGAAAGTGGCTCAGTGAAGAAGAAAAAAGGGATCATATGAAAACAGCTTTCTTCCCTTCACACACCTGGTTGATTGCCTTATACATTTTGCATGTTTGATGGACTGGCACATTTGAAAAGAATAAAACAAATTGACATTGACATCTGAGGTAGCTGGGAGCACCATGATGCCTTAAATCAGGATAAGCACAACAGGATCATTATTCTCTTCTTTTAAAAATAGATGGATTGTCGCAACAGCCTGACCTAAAGTTCTACTCTTGGATTTATTTCATCACCAAAAATCACTGAGTAATATAATAATTAACTTTAGCATCCTTGAAAGTTGACATAAGGAATATCAGAGTAGAAAGGCAGACTGTGAGCCTGTCCTAAACGGTTAGCTGCTGCTTGGCCCTCAGACATATCAATCTTGGACATGATGGATGCGTTTGTAATATCCTCGAGGAACACAGCATAGCATGGACCATTAGTGATACAGAGCTGAAACTGGAGTGATTCACTAGCTAGAGATGAAAAGAAAGGGGTGTGATTTGAGTCTGACAGATGTGGTTAATGAAGATGGGAGAAAAAAGAGGCAGCTATCAGCTAAAGCATGTGTGAAACTTTCGGAAAATGTACTTATTGTGATTTGTTTAGGTTCTTAATAAATGTTTGGCCCAACTTAAAGTCAAATTAGCTCCAAAGAAAATATGTCTGGTGGTATTAACCAACATTGATGCATCATATTTGCTTTACTTCTATGATGGCATAGCAACCTTTCTTTGTATTTTTTTCAATTGAAAAACATCTGATTCCTTTTCAATTTAGGTAAAGCATGTCAATAAACTATATATTTCATGCCCTTGATGTGATTCTCAAGTCCTAGTGTGGCCTTGAGTTTGACACCCCTGAGCTAAAGGATGGCTCTCCACTTCCATGTGCTAGCAGTACGTCACGTCAGCAACATATTTCCTGTGTTTGGCTGCCAGCTTTCCAGTGTTTGTGGTCCGTACAGCAAGCGCTGCCTCTGAACCATCATTCATGAATGTGCACAAGCGGGCCACACAGGTATAGGTGATACTGCGAGCCAGCTGGCCCTAGCAAGGATTAGCAGGCTTAAGTGTACCCGAGGTGAGGGAACGCCAAACACAGCGCTGACAGTGAGGAAACAATGGCTCCTCCAAAACCAGAGCTGACCGGGACTGAGTGGGCTTTTACCGGATCAGACGCTAATGGTGGAGAAGAGCTCTTGTATTGATTAACTATTGTTGCTAAAGGCTCTTGAGAGAGCGTTTTAACAGAGAGGCGATATTTCATAGCAGCACACACAGATCAAGAGAAAAAAATGTCTAGATAGATTTAATGGATACAGTACCCGGAATGGAACTGCAGGGAGAATGGGTGGGTGTGGACATGTTGCATGATGGACTCTTATCTATGATCCATGATGATGGTGACCCAGAACCCCTGTCAGACCCATCCTGCAAGAAGACAGAAGAAACCTTTAGCAAGCGTTAAACCAAGATGGAAAAAAAATGAACGTCTGTGTCCAATGTTCTGGAGATGCATTACAGGAATGCACAACACTAGTTTTTATTATGCACAAATTGACTTTTCGTAGACCATCGAGGGTGTCGCCAAAAGAACATTACAAATATTCCTTACCCTTACCCAGAACCAGCAGCTCCTCCCACTCCCCAACTCAGACATGCCGCTGGTTTATCAGTTTCTCTTCTTTATAAATAATCCAGTGTGTTGATACTTGCTTCAGTGAGGTGCATTATGCAAATGTTGGTATGAATCCAGCTCTGAGCACTCCAGCCCGTCATTGTGGTTGGACATAATTGCAGGGGGCTTATGAGTCTCATTCATGCTTTTCAGGGGCCCTCTCTCATTCGTCATAAAGGGGAGATTAATCGTAGATCACGTGGAGCACCTGCGTCCATTCCACCGCAGTGCAGCATGCACAAGCCCTGTTTACCCCCCTGACCCCTCAGCCCCTGTCTGATCCTGCTGCTGGAGCATCCTCTGAAAGAATCCCACCGCGCCGGGCGTTGAGCCGAGTGAACCCCCCTGCAATGAGCTGGTGTAAAAGCCTGCCTGCTCCTGTACAGTCTCCCCCCCACCCCCCACCCCCTCCTGCAGCCCGTGACTGATTAACCACACACCTGCTGCACGCCGCATGCCCTCTGTTATATTGTGTCTCAATTATCAACAACAATTTGGCTCGCTTTACTGGAACGACAGTTATAAATGCATGCCAGTTCAAGTTCGTAAAAGGGGGTCTTTGTGTGGCAGTGTGCGGCAGGTTTGAGGTTATTGTGTGATAGGAGTTGATTATCCAAGGTCTAGTGTTTGCTCAGGACAAGGAGCAGTCCTGCTTTTGGAGAAAATCTGATAGATGAACGGAGGAGGGGGGTAGAGAGTGAAAAGCGGTTTCACAAGGGGCAGCGGCACTCACCGATTTGTTTTCCTGGACTTTCCCTGCGGAGTCACACCTTTCAGAGATGCTGCCAGCTGTGAGGGGCCTCAGAACACCTGACAAAGGCACACAGGAGACAGCGTCAGGCTAAAAGGAGAGGAAGTAGTTCTGTGTGTTTGCAGTGGCGGAGGCAGGCAGGCGTGCTCCCGTGCATGTGTGTACATAAGTGTTATCCCCCGGCGCACACCAAAACCCACTTATCTTTTGTACTTGAGTGTGTGCACAGATATGAGTAACGTCATGTTTTAGTTCCAATTATGGTTTTAACCTCTGAGTAAATAATGGCAAAACACAGAGCCACAAAACCCCGGAGGAGCACCTGTCTACAGGCGTGTGCCAGGTGCGAACATTGTTCCAGAGACACAGAGAGAAGGAAAGACAGGCTTCTAGAGAATTCAGACAGATTAAGTTGTAAACGTTGGTGGCACTGGAATAAAACACAAAGTCACTATGGTTATCATATTTCCCTTTTGCAAAAAATAACATTTAATCATTGAGTTCTGGGGAAATCTAGCCGAGCAAATAGATTTATTTGTTTAGGTTTTGAGATATTTGGCAAAGAGATTTCTGCAGCAATGCCGATACAATGGAGCTAAATGGTATGCCAATGGTTTTGATGATAATCACATTTTTCATTGGTATTGGAGAGTTGCTACAGTTTTTTGTTTGCATTTGGAAAGCTGTTTGGCCGTCTGAAAAAACATTACTTTTCGCATGGTAAAAGTTGTGATATTAAACATTTGAAAAGCACATCTCCAAAGAGACTTGAAAGCCAAGTGTTTACAGTGCCTGAAACATTGCAGCAATGTCCTGGCTTCTATTGCAGTCTGAGGACACCTAGCGCAGAACATACTACCCCCCCCCCCCTTAAAGTATCTCTCTAAGATAAAAATGAATGCAAACATTTGAGACAAGAAATTGTTTCTCAATTTTTAAACCAAGAGCAGAACTGTTTCTATTCGCAAATCATGATAATGATGATAACACAGATTCAAAAGTCTTAGATAAAATGACTTAGCCAATCTTCACAAAAATGTGTGATAAATCTCTGCGACAGATATGTTAAAACCTAGATAAATAAACCCTAAACTATCTGCATGCCACTAAGTAAGAGATTTCATTTGGTTGCACCGAACCTTTAAACGTCTACAGTTTTTATCTCGTGTTATCAGACTATAAACGACAGGCGCTAGACTGAATCGTTTTTCCGCACACACTCGTCTCAGTTTCTTATCCTCTCTTATGTAAGCAGCGCTTGGTTCCAAGTGTCTCCGGCTATCTTGGTCGGGCTTTCCCGGTTAATGATCCACCTTTGCGGTTTGATCTTTATTAATATGGCACATCGTGATATCCCTATAAACCTTCCCTCTGAGCGGCCACACCTTCAGGTAGAGGCAGTTAAAGCTCGCAGCGGCATGCCTGGGAGTAGATGAGAGGCGGTATCACGGATCGTTAAAAGAAAAGCCGCTCCACGCCATAAAGGTATCTCTTACTCTCAAGGCCGGCCTACAATGTTGGATTTTTACATTCACACACACACACACACACACCTGTCTGACTACGCGTTGTTTTTAAGTTGGCGGTTTCTGCTTATCAAACGATCTCATTCAAACTGTCAGAAAGATTCGTCAGAGTTCAGTGAACTGAGATTGCCTGTCAGTGATGAAAGAAAATATAAATAAAATCACAAATAATGATTTGACAAGAACCCACATTTTAACTTTTAGACTGAACAACACATTTCAATAGTTAGAAAGAAAACTTCAATTGCTGACTAAGTTGATTTTGAGTGTGAACTTCCTCTTTTAGCCCCTGGCCTTAACAGGCTGCTTGTAATAAGAATATATATATTATTTTACTGGATATATTAATTGTAAAACTTCTGTTTAATTAATTTCCACGCTCAAATTGTTGTTTTTAGGGATAAATAACATTTATTTTATTGTGTTTTGGGTGAAGTTGTAGCTAGATTTGATCCTTTATTATGTTTTTAAAGGCTTTCATTTTTACAATATTATAAGTTTCTCTCAATCTCTCTATGCGTCTTTCTCATGAAGAGCTGTACCTCCTGAAGCCAATCCCTGCTCATTTTCCATCCTGACATCGGACCAGTCCTGCCACGGTGAGAGCTCCTCTTCCTGAGGGAAGGGGCTCAGCAGGGTCTCGGGCTCCGGGCGGTCCAGGAGGAGCAGCTGGACCCGGGACAGGGAGCCCAGATTCCCCGAGTCACAGCCCACCGTCAGCGCCGCAAGGCCTGGAGAAAGCTCTGCAGGGGGGAGACAGCAGATTCGGAAATACTGGAAAATGTCGTCAGTGCTGCAGAACAAAGCAGAACAAATTGATTTGCCAGCTTGTCCTGGAGGTCCCGAGGATAAAATATGTTTACAACACTTAAGTCCTAGAAGAATAGAAAATCCTGCATAAATGTCCCTCATATAATCAATTAGATTCAAAAAGTGTTATTGTCCACTACTATTCGCTGTACATAAAATAGGAACAAAAACGCTTTAAACAACAAATAATAGCAACATTCAAGGTTGCAAGTCAAACTGCAAAAATTCAAGAAGTAAAAAAATGATGGAATCATAGAATCAAAAGGCCATTAATGTGTTCAATTTGAATATATGTACAACCGTTGGCCTTTACAAGCAATTAGCCACCATAAATTGAATAACTTGTTGAACTGGATTAGGAAATGACTGTACACAACACTGTGCTCACTCCCCCCTAAAGCATCTCACCCCGATCGCCTCCCCTGTCCCCCCCAGGCTCCAAAGTTCTCCACGTCACACCTAATTAAAAGCGGATCAGTGACAGTGTGGCTCGCTGCCCATGCAAATCCCGGCCCACGCTGGCTGGGTGTGGAGATGCCTTTCCTCCGCGTGGGGATTTCACACAACCCGCTCTGCTGCAGGTACCCCACAACACACACACACACACACACACACACACACACACACACACACACACACACACACACACATGTGTGTGTGTGTGTGTGTGTGTGTGTGTGTGTGTGTGTGTGTGTGTGTTGTGGGGTACCTGCAGCAGAGCGGGTTGTGTGAAATCCCCANAGTAATATGAGTTTCAAAGTCCTCTCCAGAGAACAAGAATGAGCATTTTTGTCAACTTTAATGTGGTCTAAAAAACATTTCTTCCATAAGTAGTTTATGAAACTCCCAGGTTTGTACTTAATACTTCTTAGACTACTTGCACAAATAATATGAACTACTTTTACTGTGTACTTTTTGAGTAATTTGAGTTTCAAAGTCCCCTCCAGAGAACAAGAATGAGCATTTTTGTCAACTTT